AGATTAACGGCCGTGGGGATCTTTTGCGCTGACCACTCGGCACCCTCTATCCCCAAAATTGGCACTTACTTCGCCGACAAGCGGCGGTCGCTCGGTCGGTATAGTTTGCTTGCGGATTACAGGCCACGTAGCTTTTTTATTCCGTCAAACTGTGTTTCCAGAACGGTTCAGTTTGATATGACCTTCAGGTGCATATGAGCGGGCATGTCCCCCGAATATTTCAGAGAAGCCGGCGGGTTTCGTGCGGCGACAAAGGTTGCAGTGAAGCGTGACGCACGCACACGCTTGGCAACAGGTTCCTCGCATGCTGTCCCGCAATGCATCCTCACAAGCGAAGTGTAATTATCCCGCGAAATTCTTCTGAAATCCGGTCCCCATTTGGAAGCAAACGAACCGAGTTGGCTCAACCGGTGTCGCTTCTGGCTTTGTGGAGGTGCCCGTTTCGAAGTGCGGCCGGGATTGTACAGTAAAGCCTCCCTCATCCGAACTAATTGGGGTGGAGGTCATCCGGGTTACTGTAGCAGAAGATAGCTATAAACGGCAAAAAGAAACTTAGAAAGCAAATAAATGGAAAATTTAATGACATAAGTAGTGCAGATTAACATAAATAAAAGAAATATCGCTGTAGAGCCTTTATTAAAAATCTATAAAAAAGAGAAGATGCCAAAATCGAGGTCCTCCTTCATCCAGCTGAAGCCAGTCTTGGATATTTTCTTGTGTGGTTTCAGTCTCGCCAGCTGCCCTCAACACAACCTGAAAGTTCTTTTGCTCCTAAACCCCACGCGTCTTTTAAAGTACGTACTCAACTGTGAGGACACGCGGTAGTGTAGTTGTTTCAGGCGCTATGCTACAAGCCAGAAGGTCTCGGGTTCGAGTCCCGATGAAGTGGATTTTTTTCAATTTACGTAACCCGAACAGCCGCACTGTGTCCTTGGGGTCGAGTCAGCCTCTAACAGAAATGAGTACCAGGAATCTTCTTGGATGTAAAGGGCGGCCGGCGCATAAGGCTGACAACCTCACCGTCATCTGTCTAGAAAATGTGGAAGCCTCGACGTCTCACGACCCTATGGGTCTCCACTGCCTGTTACACGGATAGCTTTACTTTTTTTTTTTTTACTCAACTGTGAAGAGAACTTCTCATGTTTCCATCTGGATTAACGAGGGTTTGCTAACCTTGAAATTTGCCACTGTCGAATCCTTCCACGCCCCTTCCAGTTCATCGCCCAAACGTTCAACGCTGTATAACCCGATTTACCGACTGCAGTGTTAAATACCCGTACATAAAGTAACAGACTGGAAGACTGCTGACTTGTGGGATGCGACGTTCTGTTTCGGAGGAACCAGCTGTTTCCGTCTTCGGGATAGAGACTTCATGTCAAGGCACGTTTCTAGAGAATATTGTTAGTAACTTTAAGTCATATATTGTAACACTGCTTTACCAGAATTACACAGAATTATCATAATTCATGAATTCTCAACTTACCTGGAATGAAGTAACGCATCTGTTCTCAGTGCGTGAATTCCTGTGACAACGTCACTTTGGCTCGGGGGTGGAGGCTAGGGGCATACAGCGAGACCAAGTGCCGCTAGGCGTTTCAGCAACCAGTAAAGGTTTCATATTGCTGACCTCTGGATAATGACACCGTGTAATCTGGTATGTACAGTACCAGCGATCCATATGAACACAGCCTGCATCTTTAGTTTGAAGTTATGCTCTGAAGGAGCATGCTTTCTTAGCAAACTTTAGTACTGAAAATGGAGCAAATCTGTTCCTCTGAAACGTCGGTGGACTTGTATCGGAATTTGCTATTACATCACAGAAAGTTGCCTGTATAGAATTGCTTTCTAATGACTACGTAACGATATACATCACTGTATGATTGTTTCACACAATGTATGTTCTTCCGAAACGTCGATGCCCACCTGTCAAGCTATGCGTTGGTCTAACCCGGATGGCTGCTACCGGTATATGAATCTTCACTGTCGTCAAAACCTGAGATATTGTAAGAGCTAGGTTTTAATACCCCAATGATGCAGGTTTTCGTGCTGCAAACAGCTGAGCGCAGAATCTGCGAACTTTAAATGCTAACATTGAGATAACAAGGGAGAATGTTAGAGGAAATTGCTTTTCAGATGGCTCTGAAAGATGCATGCGTAATTTCAGCGCGTAGTGTGCAAGAGCTGAGCAATAGAACACCGCGTCATGCAACAACGGTTGTTCTTCAGGACGCGTCTGCCAGATAACTAGCCATCGTAAACATTTCCTTTGCCTATTTCTTTATTCGTGTTTACTTTAATGAGGCTATTTCTTTTTTCCTTTGGCGCTACAGCCCCAATTTGTGCCTTGGCCTGCCTCCATGAATCTCTCCGTTTTCACGTCAGCTTACTATATCTTAGAGGCATTCGGTAGGACCCCTTGGGCGGGTGATCAGCTCGTCGCAAGGCCTCTACCTGTACACAAACAGAAAAACGCACACACCCACAAACACTGAACATCCATGCCCTGAGTGGGATTCGAACTCACGATGCCGGCTTCCGAGCGAAGGAAGACAGTGGATCCCTTAGACCCCTCAGCTGCCGTGACTTTAATGAAGGTAATTCGTTATCTGAAGTTGTGTACCGAGGAATAATTATATGATTAGTGCGGTATAAATTGGGAAAAACGTGGATGTGGTCATGGCCTAATTTGAGGTCTTGGTCTGGAGGGACTAAGGAGTACCACGAGAACCTTGGGCTAGCAGAGCTGCTGGCCAAGGTACGAACCCTGGACTCTAGAATACGGTATGGAATTGGTAACGTTCTGCCGTGTTTCATAAACGGCACGGAGTAGGCATATTTGTGAAATATTAAAAAGTTTCACGTACGCAGGGTTTTGTTTCAGAATTCACGGTGACGTGTATTCAAGTGCTACATAGACATTCGCTACGGGAACTGAAGCAGCGCACAGAACAATACAGCCAGCAGCGCGGGTTTCGTTTCAGTGATATTTCGAATGTTTGTTTGTTTGTTTGTTTGTTTAGGGACACTTTCCCACACCGAGACTATTCAATGACTGCACTTCGCATGGGATTCTGATTAGTGTAAATCTCAGAGGATGTGAAGTTAGCATTTCGCACATAGCTGAACACACGTCTCTAGTACACAGGGAATTACTTGCGCTTCATAAGACCCATTCACACGTTGCGATGCTGTTGCCTTTAACGGCAATGGCTTATCTCTGTTGAGTGTCTCACTTGAAGGCGGCTGAAGATCAGTCCAAATCAGAAAGTCCCATTCGTTTGACTTCGCAGCTTGAATTCGAATTGACGAGCCTGTTTAAATTCAGTTGCGATTTAGAAACTAGCGAAAAAGAAATGTGTTCGCACTTTTCGCTTGATGTCTAGATCATGGGTGTGCGTTTTCTTTCGTCATACCTTTGATTCTAGCAGTTTTGTTAGTAAAAGACATAAAACTATCCCAGTTAACAGGCTGTGGAGGCCCATAGGGTTATGAGACGTCGAGGCTCCCACATTTTCTAGACAGTCGGCTCACAGATGGCGGTCAGGTTATCAGTTTACGCACCGGCCGCCCTTGAAGATTCCTGGTACTCATTTCTGTTAGAGGCTGAGTCGACCCCAGGATCATAGTACGGCTGGAAGGATTAGGTCAATTGAAAATCCAATGACGTAATTGGAAATCGAACCCGCGACCTTCCGGCATGTAGCAAAGTGTCTCAACAAATTACGCTACCGCGTTCCCCCGGTTTTGTGAGTACTACCCTAAATTATACCACGACCACTTCCATCGAAATAATTTCTATTTATTATTCGCCATCATCCGAACATTCGACACTGTGTAGTCCGAGTTAATGGCAGCGTCGTTAAACAAACACAAATAAAACTCGCGAAAGAAATGTCTGATAGCAATATTGTAAACACAACACATTTGAAAAGCGCGCGGGTTAGCGTAAGGGTAACGCTGTAGACTTGTTTTCGGGACGTTCTCGGCCTATACACCGGTTATCTTGATTGAGGGTTTTCTTGGTTTTCCTCCGTCACTCCAGGCAAATGCTGGGTTAGTACCTTGATTAGCCCTCAACCTTTTACTTCCACGTTCTTTCCAATTCACCCCTCATCGACCATCCTACAACAGCGCCGCAAAGTAACCCACAAGAAAGCATTTGTAAGTGTTAAACTCAAGACTGGCTGACGTCGATAAGTTTTCGTGCTACTAGCACCACTGCAATTTTCCTAGTGCGCAGCCTATCCAGTGTTGTTAGAATCAACGAGAGATGCATGCATGCACGCACATACACACAGTGTATATAGATCATATATAATGCATAGATTCAGCCTACACATGTATCCCGTTAACTCAGTGTACCCCCTGCCAGTAATTAATAATTACCCTGCTCTTTGGGTGTGATGGTGCAATTTGCTGCACCAGTGCTTTTTCTTTTTAAATCAGTTTCGGATTGTTGAGGGAAACCAGTACGGCTTCACGTAGTAGTGGCCACGCTGCTGGTCTGTGCACACGGAGTGGAGTTGTAGCCTGTAGAGCGACATGTGGGAGCCAGACACTCCGATAACGACAAAGTACTCTCCTGTAGACATGCTCTCTGCACTCTTGTTGGTTGTCATGGGTATTTGATTGGGCCAGCCGTGATTGTCGTACAGCTGACTGAAAGTTAGCCCTCCAGTGTTGATGTGAGACATCCATTTACTGTCTCTGTTTCATAATCTTCTTCTTCTTCTGCCTTTTATGCTAGGCCCTCTGGCCTGTTTCTCATCACAATTAATCTGACAATGTGGATCTTGTAGACAGTCACTGGGAATCCTTGGATGGGGGGTCAGTCCTGTCGCAAACTCAGAAGAAACGTGGACAGACATTCATGCATCAAATGAGGTTATAACCCACAATCCGAGTGGGACTGCTTTAGACCATGCAGCCACCGTGACTGGCTGTTTCAAAATCATATGCAATAATGTGAAATGTTCTTAATGTTTATGTTTGTTTTGCAGGAGTTTTTGTTGGCCATTGATGTCACATCCTCAGGCACACCAGAGGAGAAGCTGAAGTGGGCATTCCGCATGTATGATGTAGATGGAAATGGGGTCATAGACATTCAGGAGATGACAAAAATAGTTCAGGTTGGTTGTACAGCTACACTGAGCCTGCTTACTGTATGCAGGTATTCCTGTAATGCACAAAGATTCAAGTTTCTCTCTTTGTCTCCAACAGCTTGTAAATGGATAAGAGCTTGTAATAGCATGACTTCGTCCATAGTGGTAATGGATCTCCTAGAGTGATGTAATTGCATTTTATTCATATCTATGTGTAAGTAGTCAAAGTGATCTTTTCACTTCTGGTTTTCCAACCCAAGTTCCGTACCCATTTTCCGTCTCCCCCAAGTTTTACGTAAGTGTCCGTCTTACGTTCCATGATTCCATCACACTGTTAATGTCTGGTGAAAATAAGATATTATTCTGTCTGATTTGAGGTTCTCACAGTCAGTGGTTATGAAGGTTTCTGTCTTCTGGGTATGCCATGCAGTCCATTGAAATCAATGTGTTCCTTCAAAACATGAGCTGCCCTTCAGTTGACTACATGGTGCTATATCCCAGAAGACAGAAATCTTCATGAAATTGTTAATTTGAGTTATGTGTGCTGCCCTGTGGTGATAGCATATTAGGATGCCAGAAGGGAGGTACAGTTTTGTGGCAGAGCTCAGTCAGTATAGATGAACTGCGTTCAGTTCCCAACACAGACCGAGATTTCTCTCTTCTTAATAGTGTGTACCAGCTCTAGATCTTGCATAGCTTCCTATCCAGCAGGTATCTGGGGATCCCCCCCCCCCAGAGGTGGCAGCTCACCTCCGTTAATGCCAAGATAAAGAATGTGAGAAGCTGTCGTCCACTCCTCCATACATCTTCATGATGTGACAATTAATTAAGCATGAGGGCAGGTTTAGCTTTTCACCTTCGCTGACCCACTTACTGGCCTAAGTAGCTCAGTCAGTGTAGTGACTAAGCTGTGTGTTGGCCAGTTTGGATTCTGTGCATGATGAACAGGGATGTGGCTCTGGGGTCCTTCCTACAGTCTAATTGGTACTGGCGCTTCTTCCCTAGATATAAAGTGGCTGGGGTGCAAAGCTGACCACTTATCTCCATCTATTGCTGAGATTGAGAATGTGTGGAACTATACCTCCACTACCCATTGTCTTCATTGCATGCTGCTTAACTCAGGACAGGACGACTTTACCTCGTTACCTCTTGTTATGTTCATACCATTTCTGTAGTGCTTCTTGTTGCATAGTAAACTTCTGTCAAGTGAAGAGATGTTGAATGAGATTTCAGAAGTGTAGAGTCTTGTGGGATGTGACACTGTAATTCTGGTACATAGTCACATTCAAAAACACTATACACTTAAGATACACTGAAAGCCCCACTGGTATGTGGCTTTGAGTAATATTAAATTTAATTGAGTAGAGCTATTGGTCAAGTGTCCCATTCTAAGTTAGATTCACAATAACAGTGTTATTACAAGTTTTCAGTAGACTTTTATTGTCATGCTATAAGCATAAAGTAATGATAGAAATTACTTTTGCTCTTAACTTAAAGCATGTAACAGTATGGCTTGCCCAAGCTTCATTGATCAGTTCATCATTTCCTTTTATGTTTCAGATTTTCCGACTCTATAATTAATGCATTTTTGTTTCTAGTTATGTATTTTTTATTTAAGGAATATATGTATAGTTTATTTCTTAATTCTATAATTTTTCCATGGTGTGCAAATGAAACATGTAAGTGGACATAACTTGATGCATTCTTGCTTCAAAGGCCATCTACGATATGTTGGGTGCCTGCTCATCCAACCGGCCGGCAGACTCAGCTGAAGAGCGAGCTAAAAACATCTTTGCCAAAATGGACGAGAACAACGATGGTCAGTTGACCCAGGAAGAATTCCTCAAGGGTTGTCTTCAAGATGAGGAACTCTCCAAAATGCTTGCTCCATAATGAGTGAAAATCAAAGCTCCAAAATACATGAGACAGTCTCATCATATACATGTCTTCTCATTTTATGATATTAATATTAAAAATATGAGATTCTGTTGTTGATAGAACGTTGCAAACGCTGTGTCCAGTGGGTGGTGGAGTAACCAGAACGTTGTGTGCCATATCTGATGAGAAGGAAGCGCTGTATTAAAACACCATGTTATAGGCTATATAACCCACATTCCATAATTAAATCAAATCGTCAAATACAACAGAATGTGTTATAACACTTTTATCTTATTGAAGCAGTCAGGTTGGAGTCAGATAACCTTCAACATTCCAGTTTGTGATATTCAATCTTGACCATGTGAATGTTTAAAATGCAGGTGTAACTGCTTCTTCATTTAGTTTGCTTATAAATATGATTTGTCAGTGTCTGGATTCTCATTACACATTGCGCTTTGTTCAGAATATATGTGTGTGTGGAGTATTTGCACATATTTGTAAAATATCTGAATGTGCTGTACAGCAGTTTAGCTGAAACTTCGCCCCTGAGCAGTCTGTTTTTGAGAAATAAGAATGAATGAGATAAAGTGGTTCCTAATGTTGCACTCAGTATGTATTTAACAAATGTAATACTCTCGCCATCTTCTTGTTTGTACTTAAGTGCTAATTACAGCATGGATTCATGCCTCAGCTGAAGAATTACTGTCCTGTCTGCGTTTGCACACTTTTCTTTTGTATGAGATATGGCAAATCTCATGTTATGTTGTTTTGGAATATCAGTGATCAAAATTATTGATTCCAGAACAATTTGCTCACAACAACAGTGGCTGCCATATGCTTTTAGGTGGAGGTATTCTGAAGAAAGAAATGTAAGCTAGCCTGTAACACCAAGCTGAATGATGTAGAATGTATATCATGCTAAAAAAGATGTGTGTAATACTTTCAAACAGTGGTTTGAAGTTGATGTGTGGCTTCATGTGGCCAGAATTTGTTACGGGTCATGCACTTGCCCCTTATTTTTCTTCTTGTTTTGAAATAAATTGGCCTCTTAGGATATCATGATGGCTAAGCTTCCTTGTACTGTGTGCCCTGTTCAGGCCTCAACATTCGTGTGATATGTGGGTCGCAAAAATCTGTGTGGTTAGCCTAAGCAGTCAGTGGGATATTGCAAGTACTTCCACAAGAGGAATATTAAATTTCTGGGTAATGAGGTCCAGTTCAGGTTGGTCTTTTATTCTCATTAACGAAAATTTTACATTTAAGAGCACAGTCTTCTGGGTTGTAATGCTATATGGTTCAGAGAGAGACTAGTTCCTTGCTTTGCTTACTTTTGACCCTGAAGATGGACGTGATATATTCCTCTGAAATGACTTAGTCTCTCCAAAATACATAGTGTTACAATCCAGAAGATTGTACTTTTCATAATCGCCAATGTGAAAACCACAAATCCAAATTTGACTTTACTTGAAATTTTATTTATATAAATTCTTTGTCACTAGCTGTTAGAACAAATTTGCTGACAGACCTATGTATGGCAGTTCATCACTTAGAAGGAACAAAGCTAAAAGAAAGTAGGTATTCAAAAGACTGGCACCTATAACTTTCATATTTACAGTCTTGATAGTGTAGTATGTAATTACATGTATTTTGCTAACCTTGTTCTAGGTCTTCTTTGAGTGACATATCACTATTATGTAGTGTGCTCACTGTGGAGCACTTCGTGTCATAGAGCTCCTTAAGTAGTTGATGACTGACAACAAAACTGCATATGACATTTTTAAACTTTTCTAATGTTTTATCATGAATCTGTCGGATCACTCTCATATCACATTGTATCTCTGACTTCCCCAGCTTTGCATGCAAACATTATTGTAGCGTAGTGGTAAGCAAAGTTTCCACATTTTGCATAATGCACAAGATATCCACTAATTGTAACCTACACATTTGTAACTGAATGGAAGTAGGTGCAGCCCAACTATGGAAAACTGCAACTTTGTGGTTTTCTGGGAAAAAAAAATTAATGTATTGGCTCCTTTCTTCACAGGGTAAGTGCCCATAGGGTATTATGATCAGTGCAGTATGAAAGAAATATATGTTTGAAAAAACATTATAGTTAAAATTGCTAAGTATGATGGATTCTTCAGTAACTATAATAAATTTCACTTGATGCTTGCACAATCAAAACATGTTTGCAATAATTTTTCTATATTATGTTAGTATTCAAACATGACCACATCAGGGGAAAATGTGCCAGTGGACATCTTGTTTTTCATGAAGTTTCCACTTCATTAAAAGAAAACATTACACAACATTATACTATTTTGTCATTAAATAAATCTGATTCATATAAAGTTGTGATGAAAACACATTTGGGTATATTTTAAATAACACAGGATCATAAGAAAAAATTAAATCCCCCCCCCCACTACTACACACACTAGAAACATTGTCTGTGTGACATTTTTAGTACATTAGTGTGCATTGATCTAGTTTTATCTAAAGGTTATTAAGTATCCCAAGAAAACATTTTATGTTCTCTTGAATTAACATTTTTAAAGCTGTTAAGAGTACTTGCCTTTGCTTCAGGTACCATTGAGCTGTCAAGTTAAAAGTAAATTTTATTAAATTCTTCATTTTTATCCAATAATTCATTTATAGAATGATCAAGTTACCACTTTCTTCTGGAATTGGGTAATTTACATAATGACAGTAAGCTCTCTGCAATTAAACTTTAAAAGTGTAATTTTAACGATTTCACTAGTACTGTTCATATGTCTTACATAATCTGTTTTGTGGACATCCTGCCAGTCTCCATTTTTCTGCACATAAGTTAATAAGGGCAATTGTTTTCTGCCATTTTTCCCAGTTCAAGAGAATATGTAAATATTTTTTAGTCCTGAATGCTATAATTTCGTTTCTATCGACGACATGCTCCAGTGAAGACTGTCTGCAAGTAAATGTAGGCAACGTGTAACTTATTTCCATTGTATATTGCATAAGATTCCTGTGATTTATCTAGGGGAGAGAATGAAGCCTGGTTTTTCAGAATTATGTTTGGGTTATGAAATGTCAATATAATTATATACTTGATCCCAGTCAGGCTTCAGTTCTTATGGTAAAGTCCCCAAGAAGCTGCCTTGTTTGGAGTGAACTGCTTAACTCTACAACTTTTCCATTTTAAATATAAGTTAATCATGAAACTGAAAATGCTGGTTCAAAGGCATACTTCACCTGTCAGGTGGGAGAATGTTTTAGTGTTGCACCTCCTTTGTTTGAAATTGTAATCCATCTTTTTGCAGATGTCTGTCATGCAATGTCGATGTTCACTCAGACTCTTATGTACCACTAACTCTCTGGCCTCTGATGGTTATGAAGTCAATTAATTAATATTAATCCATCCTTATGAAAGGATTTATAAATTCTGATGTATAATCTGGTTACTCTTCTATTCTGATTGTGAGTAAAGAGTATTTTAACTTTAGATAGGAATGACTCACCAGATGTGTACTACATGGTTCCAATAATAAAATGATTACTTTCTCTTAGTCGTGTAACATACAGGAGTATGTTAATTCAGTACTGTCATTCTATTCTGTTTTCTGAGTATTGTAGTTTCGCTTCCAAGTAACTTTATCCTGGTTTAAAAACATCACACATTTATTGCACTGTACAAACTGTTGTTCAGATAAGAATCTTTTTTATTTACTTAACCAACCTTGATGATAGAACCTTTATTTGGAATAAAATGCCAATATATATTTCCAGTTATATAAGTTTAGTGTATAACTCATATTCCTTGCCACATATCCAGTCTGAAACAATAATCAGGTATTACTTATAGCTGAAATATTCAAGTTATATCATCTCCAACTTATGAGTTGTATAACTGGATGAATCCGCTGCTATGGAGGATCATAGTACATGTTATCCTACCGTGATGCATGTTTGCCATAGGTAACTCAGTCAGTTTAAGGGCACTGTATAACAAGCACAGGGTTAAGAGCCTAATCCCCAGCTTTATCACATTTCTTTATACAACCAAACAAAAATATTTTTGAAGAAAGCCGTCTACTGGGATGTGGCGCCATGCAGAAATTGTGTTACCCGACGTTTCGGAGGAACGTCGGTTAACGCAATTTCTACACAGCACCACATCCCAGAAGACAGCTTTCTTCAGTCTGTTGCACCTGCTCTGCTGGTTTGCTCGCAGGTTTCTTCTTGTGTTCTACCCTGAAGATGGAGGCAATACGTTCCTCCGAAACGTCGGTTAACACAATTCTACACGGCACCACATCCCAGAAGATGACTTTTTTCATAGTCACCACCGTGAAAACCTCAAATCTTACAAAAATATGTTTCATTACTCAATAGAAGCAGAAGGTTATGTATTTTAATTCAGCCTGCGTAAAACTTAGAGGTATCACAGCAAGTAAAAGTGATAAAAACATCTCGGTCAAGGAGCATTATTGGATTGGCACAGAAGTTCAGCTTTTCAGAGACTGTCCGTCCATCATGAGGGAATAATGTAATTGTTCCTGATGGATATGGGACATGTGTCTGAAACATTGGACTTTTCTTGTGATTCCACCCAGCTGCTCACCTCAGGAGTTTTGTCACTGAATTTGGGTATATTTGTGTAGTCAGAAAACAATGTGAATTATTTTTATATTGTGTCATTATAATGCTGTATCTAATCTTTATGTTCATGAAATTGCTTTGTGTAGGTATAGCATTGTATCCCAGTTTTGAATATAGTTTTGGAAAAACAAGTAGTCATTATTTTGTAATTTTTCTTTACATCAATCAGGTCTGTTTGATGTCAGTTTGAATGCCATTATTGTTTGCACAAAATATTGAACATATAATATGTTATGCTGATTTAATTTGTGAGGAACCGTTATTTATCACATAATGTCGTAACGCACATGATAGTATTGTTCAGGGATATCAAACTTACTGCAGAAAGGAGATTGCTTCACAGCGTTAACCACATATACTGGACATGATTGACACTGTCCATGGAATGTTTCTAATATGATAAATAGAGGTAAACAGTGTACAACATTGCTGTGATTTTGAATTTTTGTTCTCCTATAATTACGTCTCACTATATTTATCACTAATAAAAGTTGTCACTTCGAACGTTCCCATGAGCAGAACCATCATTGACCAGTGTTTAAAAAAATGGTAGCATTATGAGTTAGAAGTTTGTGATCTCTGCTGCATAACGTGCAAAACTCAATATTTTCACATCAGTGGGAACTGAAGAAACACACAGTAATGACATTTTTATTTTACCAGTATTACGTACATTGCTGTTGCCTTCAGATGAGATGGTTCCACTTACTGCTAAGATTACGGTCTTCAGGGATCTGGTGCATAGGTACTAATGTTTTGGAAGGACCTGTTGCATGCATCTGGAATATAGCAAAGATGGAGGCAACAGATTCCTCCAGAACATTAGTACCAACATACCAAACCAGAAGGCATTACATCCCAGAAGACTGTATTGACTGTTAGAGAACTGTGTATCACTTAACACTGTTCTTCTAGGGATACAAAGTATCAGGTTTATCAACACCTTTTGCCATTAGAAACTTTTATAAAAGTAATTTCATTATGAACAACAGTTTTTTCAACAATTTTTAACGTACTATAAATAATATCATAGGGATGAGAGAGCTGGCTGTCAGTCATGTGTATCACTTAACACTGTTCTTCTAGGGATACAAAGTATCAGGTTTATCAACACCTTTTGCCGTTAGAAACTTTTATAAAAGTAATTTCATTATGAACAACAGTTTTTTCAACAATTTTTAACGTACTATAAATAATATCATAGGGATGAGAGAGCTGGCTGTCAGTCATGTGTATCACTTAACACTGTTCTTCTAGGGATACAAAGTATCAGGTTTATCAACACCTTTTGCCGTTAGAAACTTTTATAAAAGTAATTTCATTATGAACAACAGTTTTTTCAACAATTTTTAACGTACTATAAATAATATCATAGGGATGAGAGAGCTGGCTGTCAGTCATGTGTATCACTTAACACTGTTCTTCTAGGGATACAAAGTATCAGGTTTATCAACACCTTTTGCCGTTAGAAACTTTTATAAAAGTAATTTCATTATGAACAACAGTTTTTTCAACAATTTTTAACGTACTATAAATAATATCATAGGGATGAGAGAGCTGGCTGTCAGTCATGTGTATCACTTAACACTGTTCTTCTAGGGATACAAAGTATCAGGTTTATCAACACCTTTTGCCGTTAGAAACTTTTATAAAAGTAATTTCATTATGAACAACAGTTTTTTCAACAATTTTTAACGTACTATAAATAATATCATAGGGATGAGAGAGCTGGCTGTCAGTCATGTGTATCACTTAACACTGTTCTTCTAGGGATACAAAGTATCAGGTTTATCAACACCTTTTGCCGTTAGAAACTTTTATAAAAGTAATTTCATTATGAACAACAGTTTTTTCAACAATTTTTAACGTACTATAAATAATATCATAGGGATGAGAGAGCTGGCTGTCAGTCATGTTTACATTCAATGAAACAGCTTACTTCTGCATAGTTAAAAATGAGATGCTTTACAGACATTGAGTCGTATATGTCACTCTTCCTTCATGAGGGGCCAGACAAGTTTTTGCTGTATATGCAATATGTAAAGTTGTGGGACCCATATTGGTGGATATTACATAGGCTTAAGCTTCCTGTAGCAGGAACGCAATTGTATTCTGTGCCATATTATTTCAATTTTTAAGTTCCCTCCCCCCCACATGTGACATTGAGTCAATCATTGCAATTGACTCTGCCTCCATCCTCAGGTTAAAAGCCTACTCTCTTGGACCCAATTGATAGAGCTAGTCCCTGTCTCTGGACACCAGAACCAACACAAAGCAGCAAGGTATGGAGGCAAGGAGATTGAGTCAACTGTCATAAATATTTATACTCTGCATGTGTAAGTCACAGATTTTCAAGATCATATCAAGGAAAATATCTCAGTCTCAGTTTGAACATTGATGTTTCAGTCTTGAACTTGAGAATTATCATGTCACTGCATTTGCGTTGCACAGTAGCATGCAGACTTCCCACTACATCATAATCATAATGGCTGACAATGACAAAATCAACAGTGTAAAAGGTTGTGGCCCTAAAATTTAATTTTGTAATACCATCAGTTAAGAAAATTTTTCATTGAAAAGGGGTCTAATATCAGTAGGGATAAGTAAATACACTTTAATGCACTGTGAAATAGTGGCTAGTGTTAGCCATGATTCTAGTGAAAACTTTGGTCTGTTACAGAAAATTCTTGTTCCCTTCTCAGTTCTCAGAATTTTTTCCCAGATTCTCATCTTGAGAAGAGAAAATTTTGTTTCATTTATAATAATGCTTTAAGTATCCATTCTGAAGAGAGGAANAGTTTTCCATATTTTTCTTCCCTCTGCTTGTCAATCACTTTAGTTTTGTTAATACTGATTCTTTCACTTATGTAAAATGTTGCATTTCTACAGTTTTTCTTTTTATATGATTTGAGGCTTTTATGGTGACTGAATGTGATGAAATCTTAGGTCATCAGTCAGATTACTGAGATTTTAAGTCATCCCTAATAATGGACATGGATGGTCTGGGAAACTTTGGGCTTCTTGAAATTACTGATACTGATTGGAAGTTAACATTAACAGAAGTCATTAAAATTAATGGAATTCAGCTGGCTAAAGTGTCTTCATAATATTAGTTGAAATGGTAATTCAGCCAAACAGATATGTTAAGGCTAATGTCTTGATGAGAATATATTTCTTGTGGCATGTTTAGAATGAAAAGTTGCAAAAATGCACCTATTGGCTTTGTCATGTGCCTGTCATTCTGTCCATCAGTATGCAGTAATTTGACAACTGCTAAATGGGTTTTCATGAAATCTGATATTTGGAAATTTCAGTACAATTAGTAGATATATTTCAGTCTTGGTTAATATTGAAGAATAGTAATGAATGCTGTGCATGGAGACCTACATATGTTTGTGCACCTGTCTTGAGCCTAATTTACCGAATATTTATGGGAGTGAAAAACGTGTTAAAAATTGTAGAGAAAACTGAAACACATTTTATGTTCCATATACATTTTCTGTAAGTCTTATTTTTTCAAGACAATTAAATGAATGTAAGGAAACTTGCCAGAATTTTATGTGGTGTATACATTTCCTAACTTGTTTATACCTTTTAGGGCATTTTTAACCAGTGAATATTGAAGAGTGGTTGGTACATCAGATGGTGTAAAGCATAATTTACATGTTAACTTCCATGATATCAAATTTAAGATCTTTTTAAACTTTACTTCAGTTGAAATTGATAATTTTTTACCATGGTTAAAGTTCAAATAACAGAAAGTCACAGAGATGACAGTACATTCCATTCAACCTGATTACTTGATGTAACTTGTAGTATTGACATCAAAGAATTTAAGATGCCATGATAAATGTAAATTAATTCATCTCTTCTCCCTGATCATGTACTCATTTTGTGCTGAGAACAATATTTCATGTAATTGCTTTCCTCTGGATTTATTTTAGGTGTGTGGTTATTAACAGGTTTTATTATTCAGATAAATAAGATTGTCTTGAATTGAGATGGAAGAAGGCTGTTTATGCACTTTTATATTTTTGTACTTTTTCTGCACATATTGTAAAATATATATACTATCTAAATCAAACTGTATGAAACATATTTCATTATATAACCTTTACTATGTTTAGTTTGCATATTGGAAAAGAACTATGTATATTACTGTGTATTGTGCTATTTGCAATGTGCGTAAATTGTGAATTAATTATTATTTCACACTGCAAAGTTTGTTTAATTTGCTGTAACAGAATCATATAGTTCCATGGATGTTACATGTACTTTAGACTGGAAGTGGATGCAGATAATTGTCATTAATTTTTTATGATTTCTGCTGCAGTATATATGTAAGGCAATAAAACCTTCTGGTCAGGGGGGCAGGTTCTCCATGTATCATTCTGAGGAAAATGGAATTCTCATAACATTCTCTAATATATATATCAGAACAAGTCATATTCAGATTAGTGCACACTGCAGAAGTGTGTTAAACATTGGAGAATTTTGATACACAATTTTTGTACATGTATATGAGCGGTGATATCTCTCCCCATAATGGGAATTTATCATTTCCCACGGAAAGTTGTTTCATGCCATGCTATCCAAGGGTCTTAACAAACATTTTCCACGTTTTTCATGTAAATTAGTTAAATGTTAGTGAAGTATCATTTTATCAGTCCGTTTGTACTGCCCCTGTAGTCATATTTGGCAAGAACTGAGGGCAGTGTGAGGTACAGCAGTAGAGCTGCTGGAGTGTGAGCTGACCACTCACCTCCCTCAAGTTCCAAGGTTAAGAATGGTGGAGCTGTACCTGCACCTTGCCATTCATCTTCATGGCATGGTAAAAGCTATCCCTGTAACAGGCCGTGGAGGCCCATAAGGTTTTGGGATGTTGAGGCTCCCACATTTTCTAGACAGTTGGCTCACAGATGGCTGTGAGGTTGTCAGCCTTACACACTGGCCACCCTTTACTCCCACGAAATTCCTGGTACTCATTTCTGTTAGAGGCTGAGTCGGCTCAGGGTCATAGTGCGGCTGGAATGATTAGGTCAGTTGTAAAAAATCCACCTCATCAGGAACCAAGCCCATGACCTTCCAGCTTGTAGCATAGTGCCTCAACCAACTACGCTAACACGGGCCCCCTTCATGACATAGTGCAAGGAACACCTTTGTCTTTGAAGTTGGCTGGACTGCTTACCAGTAGCTTGATAGTGCATTCATTTTGTGCAGTGCAACCTGTTATTTCGATTTCTGTCAGAAACACAATAAATTGTGAATCATATTGTAACCATTTTTTGTATGTATCCATGAATTGAATGTAATATTATATGGAACCAGATGATTCTGACTCTTATGTAATTATCCTGAAAGTTGGACATAATCATCATTATTATTATTGTATTATTGTTGTTATTATATACAGCAGCTGTGGTGTGTTTTTGTTTTATCTGGTTCAGAAATGTTGAATGGCAAAAACCTCTGAATTTTGCAAATAATCTTGTAAACATAATATCAGAATTTATTGAAAATGAAGCATTTACTTGCCAAGATTTTGATTTTTAAATCTGTCTATAGGATCCTGCTATATATGCCTTCATAAGTGAAAATAATTGGGCCAGTTCGGTAACGTGGATTTTTTGTAGCTTCTTGCCAGGGTAGAATTGATGAACGTTCACTGAGCATTGGTTCTTTACAATTGAATTCACTAGTTATCGTGTATTTCACCATTTATTTACTTACTGTTTATTTAATTACACTCTGATTAATGTAAGATCATATAGCATCGTGATCTTACTGTGAATGTAACCTGTTTTCATTCTTATTTTAGGTGCAATTGGTGAAACAAGGACCTTTGTGTACATCTCTAGGTTGTAGTTAAAGAAATGGGTAAACAAAACAGCAAATTGAAACCAGAAGTTTTGGAAGATCTCAGACAAAACACAGAATTTTCAGGTAATGATTCGGTTATGTACTGGTCAGTTCTGAAAGGGTCTGACAATGGTGTATTGCACTTAGGTTTAGTGGGTTTCTGAGCTTTGCTTTCAGAAACTGGATATTTAGGTGACAACGCGTGGACTAACCTCATTTGGGGCTGTTAGAAGGAGATGTTATCAGTTATTGAAACCCAAGTGACAGAGTCTATCTTCTTCTTGTGGGGCCAACAGACTGTGAATAGGTGCCTGTCCATCTACTCAGCTGAGGATGGAAACATCCAGTTTCTGAAATATTGTGTTCTGTTTGGATTACTGGATGATAGATACAGCCAGAAATCCCTTAAGCCTAAATATATGTACTTGTGTAGTGTTTCATTGTATTCACCACTTCCTTCCTCATCATCCTCACAAGCTAAAAAAAAAGTTAAACTGTCCCTGAGCTTAACTAATTAAGCACTACACCATGAAGACATATGTGGGAGCAGATATATAGATCCACATTTTCTTGACCTCTGCACCAATTGGAGGTGAGTGGTCAGCTTGATGTCCCGGCCACTTTACCCCTGGTGAAAGAGCCCCTGGTCCCAATTGGATAGGAGGCTTTGTGGGCCCCAGAGCCAGTCTAGAGAAAGTGGAGATGAGAATATTCTTGACCCTACTAGGGCTTGGAACTCCAACCCATAGCCAGTCGCTATACCGACTGCACTGTCCCAGCTCCCCATCACCATAGGCTGTTACATAAAAGAGGTGAAGAAAGGAAGGAGGATGAAGGTGTACAGAAATAAGACACCTCAAAATAAATTTTCACTGTTACTCTTTAGTCGGGAGCCAGGGTAGCTGAGTGAACATAGTAACTATGCTGTAGGGGGCCAAAGATTTCTCTCTTTTCCACAGAGTCCAAACTGGCTGTGGGGTCTGCCATCTGTTCAGTGTGTTCTGGGAGTGAACCAGCTGACAGTTAAAGCTGACCTTTCACCTTGATCTAGTGTCAAGCTTAAGAATGCATGACACTATCCCCCCACAAAAAAAAAAACACGTCTTCATGGCATGGTATTTAATTAAACCCAAAGAGAACCTGGCAGTTACCATATCTGTTCAGTTGGAAGTTTATTGTCTGTTTCACTTTACTTGTCCTGTTCTTTTCTTTTAAATAGTTTACATAATCTATGATTGCTCTAACTTCTTTAACTTTGTTTTAGATGCTGAGATACAGGAATGGTATAAAGGTTTTCTGAAAGACTGTCCCAGTGGTCACTTGAGTGTAGAAGAGTTCAAGAAAATATATGGTAACTTCTTTCCATATGGTGACGCTTCAAAAGTAAGTTCTGCTGGAGAATGAAGTTCACTGGTAAACTGCATGTAAATAGATCATAGTTAATGCTCATTAATTATTTTTCACATCACATTATTAGTGAAAATCTAGGAAACTTAAAAGTAATTAATCTTTTAAGATTATCATCATTCGAGATGTGATATGATGTAGTCTGGTAGATAGGTACCAACAATTAAAGAAACCTGTTGCCTCCATCTTCAAGGCACTCCTGCAGTGAGACAGCAGATCACCACACCACAGTGAGATCCTCACATCACATACAATTCAGAATGCTAGTGTATGTCACTATTAACCCAGTTCTTTCCAGATATTACATTTTCAATCAGATTTGACTATGTTGGGTTTGAAGTCCTCATGGTTATTGTTATGAAGACTGCCGTCTGCTGGGATGTGACTGCATGTAGACCAGCAGAAATTTGCTGATGTTTTAGAGGCAACAGGTTTGTAAAGACCAGAGGCTGTTACCTAGCAACAAAGCTACATGTCACAGTATAACCTAAATACAAGGTGATTTCCTCAGAGGAGGCCTAGAATTAACAGTTGTAAATCTCACAGTAATTTAAAGATTGAAATTGTTTAAATATCTCAGCAGTGATGGAGATAATTGTGTTACAGAAGATGCTGAAGTTGGTTTCCCTCTGCCTGGAGAGACAGGATAACTTTACACTGAATGTTCACACATGTTATAGCCAGCCTAATTGGGAATTGCAGCAGTTTTTATCTATGTTTCCAGGCAGAAGGAAACAAATTTCAACATCACCAATGGCCTAATGATCTACATATCTACCAACATATGTATTACCCGACTTCTATTTCCATGAGTAAATTTCTAACTTGGGCCATCCCCTTACTAAATCAGGTTGCATATGAAGAGGGCAATCTTCATTAACCATTGCCGCAACATCCTCAGATCCTGCACTCTCTATGTAAGATTGGTGACATTCTTTAAAACATTAATTGCATCCTGTTACTAGAAAATTATTATTTAAATCCTGCACTCTTAAGTTACTCAGGCAGTCTTATACAGTATGATCATGTATTCTTTATGATTTTCTGAGCAAAGTTACAGAAATGTTCTCATTAACTGTCTGATGAAATTGTGTGTGTCAGTTTGCAGAACATGTCTTCAGAACATTTGATGCAAACGGTGACGGTACAATTGATTTCCGAGAATTCTTATGTGCCCTTTCGGTTACATCGAGGGGGAAGTTAGAACAGAAGCTGAAATGGGCTTTCAGCATGTATGATTTGGATGGCAACGGGTACATCTCACGACAGGAGATGCTGGAAATTGTTACAGTGAGTTATAAATACAGTTCCATTGTGGTCTGATATGTCTTGCAGGCATTATACTTGTTCTTCTGTGTTTACATGCGTGTTGAGAGGTGCACGAGCATCGATGGCTGTGTGCACAGGATAACAGTCAGGGTAGATCACTGTTTATAAAATTACTTAAAATCAGGCATGTATGACACTGTAAAGTGGTCTGACAGTTGGTAAGAATCTTGGCAGAAACAGCAATAAATATTGTATGAACAAATTTCAGTAAAAATCTGAAAACAACAAACATGTAATTGCTGAAACTGGAGGTAAAAGGAAAACAGTTTAATAAAGTTGTCAACCCCTGTACAATGAAGGAATGCTGAGACATATTCATGAATTTGCTGTTTATGACTTTACTTTTTTGTCAGCAAGCACCAAGAGATATATTATCACAAGTTTTCTTATAGAGGTTTATCTGTAATGCTGTTTTTGCTCAACACTGTTTCAAAACTACTGTATTCTGTGAATATGGAATAATTTCTGACCTCTGTTATATTATGTGATGAATTAAAAAGTAAACGTAATTGTCATAAGAGAGAATACAAACACACACGTTTGTGTATCTGCACATGCTTGCGTGTATTCATAAAGAGCCGATCCCCTTATTTTTCACTCTTTTAGGCCATCTACAAAATGGTTGGCTCGGTGATGAAGATGCCTGAAGACGAATCGACACCTGAAAAGAGAACGGACAAGATATTCCGTCAGATGGACAAGAACAATGATGGGAAACTGTCTCTGGAAGAGTTCATTGAAGGAGCTAAGAGTGACCCGTCCATCGTACGGCTGCTGCAGTGTGACCCACAAGCACAGTGAACTGACTCCAGAAATGGTTTAAACTGACATAGTGCTGGCTGGCTCAGCCATGTGGTCAGGTGACCACTGCATTCTTCATGGGGATCCGGTGCAAGAACTATAAACTTAGACCATGTTTAACGAGATGGTGCATGTGGAAAGTGCATTGCTGGGTCCATCCTCCTGTATGGAAACAACAATACTCTTTCTCGCTGAAGGGTTTCGGCTAGTTGTGTGGGAGTCCCTGCTTTAGGAAGTAATGGGGGCTTCAGGGAACCTGCAATCTTTATATTTAATTTAATGAGAGGAACAGTATTGGTGTGACACACTGTGCTGTACTGGCGTGACTCCCTATCGTGTGTATGAGGATGAATGCTAGTAAGAATGTGATCTTCAGCTGTTTTTTATTCTGTTTTGCCAAGGGTTTCGTCCCCACAGTTAACAAGTTCCAACACACAACTGCAATTTGCTGGTTAATAAAATTAAGCCTGAATGGATAAAGTGAATTTCTTTCTCTGTTTTACCTTCATATTGTATGGAATGTGTGCCAGCATGAAACACTCAGTTTCCTGCATCTGTCACATGAAGATGGATTGCATTACATCTTTTAGGCTGATTAGGAAGGAAGAATACTTTTATAGACACCCTCTATAAAAAAAAATTTAAATGATGTCATTTCCCTCAGTAACCCCTTCCGTGGTATTCTTGGAACTTCTCATGACTCACTCTCTGTTCCTAATTGGTTTATCCCAGAAATCTTTATGGCACATTGGACTACACTTTTTGTTATATCATGATGTCTTTCTGGGCTTTATGACAATTTTGTATGTAGTTTTTATGTTTCTTAGAAGTTGGCAGCAGCATATGGAATCATTTGCCATGGCTTTCTGGATGCAATAACAATGTATGTTGTGTGTCAGGGAACAGTGATTGAATGTAAGTCAGCACTGAAGGGCTTAAGCTCATGGTAACACATGAAGTGACCAGAAAACAAAATATTAGTTAAATTGGTTGGGTTACATTTGCTCATTCTGCAACAATGAAAGTATATCGTAAACATAAATAAGCAGTAGTTCTAATCTGAATGCAGAACATACTCGATATTTATAAAATTATCCCACAGTAAAGGAATATAGTAATCGAATGTATGACTGATACATAATGATTATGTTTCTGAATTTGTTCCACTTTGGAACAACCTGAAAACTATGTACAGTGCATATGATGCCTCATTCCCTTCACCAAGTGTTGATAGCTGGTATCAGTGCATCTGCACAGAGACGTTTCTTCTTGTTGAGAAGTCCTGTGTGTGGTCGTCACTCTCCTTCTCAGGAATGTTTTGCAGAATGTTTGATCCAAATGTATGTACTTGTTGGTTGAAACATTTTGGAAATTTAATGATGGTGTTGTGTGAAATAATGTACATTTATTTTGATGGAATTGCTAGGCAATAATTCTTGTATGACTTGCAATCTTGCCCTTTTCGTTCTTGTACTGAACCCCACCCACATGAGTTAGAACTTTTTCCCAGGTTGTGTGCTGCCCAGACTGGGGTACTTCCTTACCCTCCTGTGGCATTACTTTCAAACAATTTCATTGTGTCTTCTATCAGAGTATGCTCACTTGTCACACAGAGGTCTAGTACACAGTTACATGATTCCACCCGTCAGTTTTCTAAGGCACAAATATTTGGCAATCCCTAGAAAAGTGTCAGCACTACAGACCCCCTATCAGTTGTAAATTTTGTATGCAAACAGGATGTCATACGCTGTATTTACATTCAGTCTTACACTTGTTCAGTTGTGTAGGGCCCAGTGTATGGAGGTCATCAACAGTTTGGTTTGCTTAAACTTTTGGAATGCAGAACTTTTTAGACAGCTTGATCCTAATAGCACTTTCCAAGGACTCAACTGTAAAATATGGACCAAGACCCTCTTTAAAGCTGTGATGGACAGCAGAAATTTTTTAATAAGAATTGATTGTTTTGTCTTTACAAGCTGTTTTTTCTGACTGTTGTGAATTTTATGTGTGTTTCTGTGTCCTTCATTTAATTATATTCCTATGTGCTGTGTGACCATTTTTCAGTTGATGATGCTTCCCTGTGGCATTGAAATGATTATTCCATGTTAATATTTACCATTTCCAGCTAGTGGCGATGCCATCAGTTTGAGAAGCAGTAGGTACAAGTCGGTGATGTTCTTTCTCTTATAATAAGACACTTGGCAGTTTTGTTGCTCGGACTAAACCAACATCTCATTGTGGTAAGCAATAATGAATACTGTTTAATTCAATACATAAATGGTTCATATAATCAAGAAGACATGAACCACAATGAAGACAGTTTCATGTAAGTAGTTTTAAGGAGTTAAGCTGTGTTGTTTGTGACAGTTTCCATATGACATATTCAGTTCAAAGAAAGTCTGAGGTTTCTAAACATGCACTTGACCATCCTGTGTTTATATTACTGAGACCCAAACATTGAAGTTATGGTCTTCTGGGGTGGAGACACATACCAGCTTTCTTCCAAAACACTGGTACCTGTGAACCATGTCATATCCCAGCAGACTGTAGTCTTGATGTTCACTGCCGTGTGAAACTCAGGTCTCACGCGAGAAGCAAGTACTTCGGTTTTCAGGCACCTGAGTTTCTTCAGTCATGAAATGCGAGTTTAAAGGATGATATCGAATTACTTGCTTGAAAATAATTTGGTGTAGTTTGAGACAAGCAGAATCATCCCTTACCAGTCACCTCTGCCAGAATTTGCACACAGTGGGAGAAAGTCCTGTGTGCCCACCATCACCAACTAAGGGAAGTCAGCATGGACAAGAAAGTGATGAACTTAATATATTACATAGTAAAAACATATAACATAATGGACAGAAATGATGTACAAGGCCTAATTTGACAATGAATGATTATAATCTAGTCCATAGACTATAGTATTTTTTTTAATCAGCAATATCTTTGCCATTTCTTCAATTTAATATAAAGGAAGTAATGAAATGGTGCCAGGAGCCACCTGTGTATTGATGGTGGTTCTTCAGTTAATTACATAATTTGAAAAGTTAATTCTATTGCAAGTTGGAGCAATTAATATAAAATTCAAACAGTTTGGTTAATAAACAGTACACCACAGATATTGGGTGAATAAGTTTTATGTTTGGTTTATGTTCCCAGTAAAAGTGTTTGCCTTGAACTGTGAAGATTCTGCATACTAACAGATGTACAGTGTGATACATACACAGACATTCCAAATTCAGGAGTAGCAAAGGACTGGAGTTAATGTCACAGCTGAAAATTAATGTTCTCTATAAATGGCAGGGTTTCTTATTCACTGCTTTGTGACTTAGGGTGTGATGTTTATTGATCACTGTTTGTGCATATAAAAGCACAAAGTAAGAGCACATTTATACATTTTCCCGCGTAAGCGTTGTTGTACGTTACCATGTTCTTCTCTCGGAATTTTCTCCTAATAATTAATGTAATCTTTTGGCAGACGTGGACTTTGTAATGCCTCATTGGTGTTTCCTCCATTGAAGTGTTTACTTCAAAAACTTGAACCAGTTCATGAACCGTCATTGTTTTGTGGATTTTATCATACGTTTTTATGTATAACAGTCCTGAAGCTTTGAAATATCATTATTTGTAAAATTACCTTCATTGAATTAAAGTGTTACGAGAAAAATGCATGTACGTTACTTCCATAATAAAATCTTACTGTTAAATCAATACCATTATAAACAGAGATTGAATATAATCTTCAATAAAATCATGCAGTTTGACAAGTTATGGGTGTTTCTTCCTTAATGGATACTGGTTACTCTCTTATGGTACTTGCATAAGGTAATATATAATGCAGCAAAATATTTCTTGTCTTCAACTCTAGTTATCAAGGCTTACAGCACTATTCTATTTTAAATGGAGTTTGTAAGCTCTGCCTTTGATTGATTGCAAGTAAAGATTCTGTCCTCTCACAGCTGTGAGTGTGAAGTTTACTGTCTTTTCTCTGATGTGATGCCACATAGTTCGGTGGATACAGAGAATTGTCAACTGCATGTGTGCCGAATTTCATAAGTGTGGAGTTTCCTTTTCTTAGAAGGAAGGCATCTGAATTTCATGAAATTAATGCTGCAGAGATAGGGCTTACAACTTCCTCTTGAACCTATTCAACTGGACATAGTTCTTGAAGCTGGTAAGTGCACAGAATTGGACAGATCACCACTGAAACAGCCCGTAAATGAACAGGTAGAGGCAGAGGAACACTTCTGCCCTGTCTGCCGCAGTGTGAGCTGATGATGCTTGCAATTCACACACTGAGGAACGAGAGTTCAGAAGCTTGAGAATGTCAACGTGGCGGTCATGCAGACTTGGGAGGTGGGAACAATACTGGTGCCACTTGCTGTAGAATTTAAGAATTTGTGTATGGTATTAGATCTTGGGAGAATATGCCACTTTTTGTCATGGTACATTTATTATAGAATTTTACACATCATGACAACTGCACAGAATCTGCATCGATGGTGTGAAACTTCGAAGTTGTATCCAATAGATTTGGTTTAGTTTGGACCTTGTACTGAATCCTGGACATAATACTGTTACTATAAAATATAATACAAACTTGTATGCTGCCATTTTTCTCACTTATATTGGGTCTGCAAGCTCATCGAATGTAATTGGAAACTGAATGGGTCTGGTGTTCATTGGTACCAAATGACTTGAAGGAAATAAAGGAGTGAGACTGTTTGGAAAACTCCAGTACAACTAAAATATTGCTAGAACGAATACATGCCTACTTGAAAGTACTGCAATGGTTGTAGACCATGGCAGGCTGCAGATTTTCACCTGTTACATTTTTCATTTAAAGACCAGAGGAGATTTGTCATTGTGTTGCAACAAAATGGCAGATATGGTGGGCTGGATGTGACATTAATTTATTAATGACCATGTGACATGCAGAGAAGGAGGGGGGGGGTGTATGTAAAATAGATATTGGGGAAAAGAACTAGATTGAACTGGCTCCAAGCACATTCAAATGCTATTATTGGTGTAGAAAATTTAGGTTGTCTTTCCAAAAATTAGGTTCACTGTTGCTTGGCCCATTAGACTGTAGTTAAATCTGTGATCATAAATACAGAGATAATATAATATAGCAAAGTCCAGTGGATGCTTTTATAGTAGTTTATTTCTGCTGTCTCTCATGATGACACTTTCTTAAGTTGAATGTGGCATTATACAGTCCTGCCCGAAGAAGTGTTCTTTCACTCATTGACTGAGCTAGACACATGGGCACAGCCAGGATAATTTGGGGGGGGGGGCAGTCAGAAAAGTTGCGTATGAACTTAAGCTCAAGCCATTAAAAAAAATATTTTGCATGATCGCTCTTACAGTATTTAGTATACAAAAATATATTAAAAAGACAAGTTTTAATTTTTGGTATTAATACTTGTTATGTTTATTCATTTTCAAATTTTTATTTGTTTAATCCAGGGGGACAGATGACTTGTTTGCCCCCTCTTGCTGCTACCCATGGCTGGAAGTTCAGGACTGAATGGTGATTATATAACTGCATGCATTTACACAAGAACTGAAACTAAAAATTGGTCAGTTTCAGTGAACAACAGATTTTAGGACTGGTATGTTATGATTCATAATGGCTACTAAAATATGTAATACAGACTCTGTACAATCTTTGATATTCAGAACCATCATGTTCAAAAACATATGCCGAATTAATAAACAAACAGCAAATATGAGCGAATACAAATATAACATTATTTAAAATAACAAGTATATATATGCATCCTTTATTTCACATTGTTATTAAGTAATATTCTAATATGGTTCATTTCATAGAAACTGGGTCATTTCAAATATTAACTAATGAAGTACTGAATTTTGGCAGTGACAAGTGGCTTAAGGACAGTATACAATCTTACAACATAATGGAAATCAGTACTTTTCTATATTTGCAGTTATGTGCTGTTATGTACCAGGATGATTTCATAGGACAATGAAAATTTGAAATAAAATACAACCGATGTGAGAAACGACATATTCATTGCATAGTTCTGGAGGTTTCAAACATGTTACCTAATGTTCTATTGCAGAACACAACGTTTACTTTTATTTTAGATGTTATGTTAGGTAACTTCCTGTAATACCTAGTAATCAAGTAGGAAAAATGTGTAAGATATTTTGTCTTTTAAGGGATACAACATTATGTTCACTAACCAACATTTAATTCACATACCATCCCATGCATCTGGAACCAAATAGCCAGTTAACATGAAAACACATCTGTTGATCTTGGCTTCAGATGTGTTCAATAGCCAAGGGCTGGATATCGCTTAACTAGATAGTCCCTGTTGTGGAGACGATAAAAGCTGTTGCTGGCCCGGATGGAGTTCAGAAGTTCAATGTCCCTATGTCTGCTTTGGAAAGCTGCTGATTTGGTGTCCTTAGTGTACGTGCGAAGGACACGCTCAGCCCAAGTCTGAGCCCGTGGGATGTCCCTGTTGAGACCCTTTGTCTTTCTGTCCAGATAGTCAATGACGTCATTGTAATAGTTGTGGCGGTAGTCATATATATAGTTATACTGTAGGTGTGTCGGGCGGTTCCAGTGTCTGTACAGGATTGTACGGTTGGGATCACGTGACTTGGAGACCTGTGATGCGGACAGGACTTCTTCAGGGACAGCCTCTGTTGGTGGTGCTTCCTCTGCAGCCGGCTCGTCCGCCATTGCCACTGAAAGTAGTACACAGGATGAGGATAACACATTCATTTCATCAAGCTTTCCTTTTTGGCATATATGTAGTGCAACCTACTGACAGTGTCGTTACGCTATAAAGAAATAGTAATATAAGTACAGTGGTAGCAGCAGTAGTAGTGTGGCGGTGAAAATGAAATAGTATTATGATTGCAATAGACATGCTTGCTTTGCAGTTATTGCTGCTGTTGGTATTATCATCATCATCATCACCAATGTGTTGTATTGGCTGTAATAGCCCACTTGTTGGCGAGGTCACTCTAATAAATTAGTTATCATTATTATTATCATCATTATTGTCATTATCTACACTGCTGTGACTGTTGGCTCAGCACATAAATAATAAATAACTGAATTATTATTATTATTATTATTATTATTATTTCCATTTACAGCTTTTATTTCATTGTGGTTTCTTCCAGTGATCCTGTAATAGGCTTTACAGCTGCTGTCAAGCTATTTAATAAATGAAATGAACCAAATATCATTATTTTTATTTTCTAAAGAAAATATGGTGGCCCCCATGCTGACAGCCATTCCAATAGAACAGTTAGCGCGCTGTGTACCGCTGTATGCATTCCAGTGCCTATGGGAGAGTTTCCAAGCACGCTGTTGATTCATTTTTAATAGCGGATTTTTTATGTATTATAAAATGTGCTGGTATCGTGTAACGTTGTGTATCACCAGAAAGAACATTATTAGTAGTAGTATTATTAATAAAATATGAGTTAAATTTCTGTGTTTAATCTGTGATTATATTGATATCATTTTGTACTGATGATATGTTGATACACCTTTAACTCGTTCTGTTTGTTGAGGAATGTTATAAATTATGTTACCCTTGAAAACTTGTTAACGGAAGATACTGGTTTCCTGAGTGTTACAGCCCAGAATACAGTAAAAAACTATTCCTGTAACAGGCCATGGAGGACTATAAGGTTGTGAGACGTCGAGGCTCCCACATTTTCTAGACAATCGGCCCAAAGATGACGATGAGGTTGTCAGTCTTACACGCCAGCCTCCCTTTACCCCCCACCCCGGGCCCATAGTGCGGCTGGAAGGATTATGTCAGTACTCTCATCGGGAGTCGAACCCGCGACCTTCCGGCTTGTAGCATAGTGCCTCAACCAACTACTCTACCGCGTGCCCCCTTCAGTATGTATAAGTACTTCAGTAAAATTATAATCGTTACTTTCGTCCGTTCTGTTTAGTGTTGCGAAATGTGTCTTTATCCCTACAGGTACGGCAAATTCTTCGTCTTCCCAGTAAGTTGTATGGTCTAACCACCAGTGAACAGGCGCACTCAGCAGGAGCCTATATTTACGATGTGTACATGAAATAATTGTAGTTGACTATACGAGGTTGTCAGCAGCTGCACTAAACAGCGTCGAATGGTAGGTTGATTGATGTATGATAAATTAAAACGGATTTAGAATGAAACGGTCTTCGCCTAATGTACGTACTATCCTGGTATTCGCCTAGAGGGACTGAGTAAAATCAGGAATACTTGAGCCTAAATAGTTTGTGTCCCGGTCAAGATCCGAAGATCATTCTTAGATAGTAATGGTAATGGTAATGACCACATTACAGAGTGTCCTGTGCGTGAGCCATGGCCGCAGCACTTCGTGTATCCCCATGAAATATTGTGCCGGGCGTCTGAACATTATTGGACTGACTTGATTTGGTTCGCACCTGTGTGCTGGGACTCCTACTTTTCGTTTCAGAATATATCATCGAACTTCTGCCTTCTGGGACCGATCCGCCCTCCTTGACCCTCCATCCCCACCAGTTTTCTCCTGGGTCGACTTACTTTTCTACACTGAAAATGGATCGGCGTGTTTATCCGGTCTTACAGCATAGTTTCTCAAAGTTTTTTTTTCCAACTCTGCACAATGAAGAAGGCGCTAGGCACACCGTCCATTTTAAAGGAGACATTTTGCAATTAAAACCAGTAAAGAGATTATGTTTAATATTTAAATTCTAATCATCGTGTAATTTTTAGAAATAATGTTGATCACGGATTTTGACAATTCTTTTTTATTACTCGTTTATTCTCACTACTTTTTTACTTTTCCCTAAATTCCCGGGGCATACCTGCGGACCCTTTGTGGCACACAGGTTGCAAATCGCTGCTCTAGACTGATAATAGCGAAGTGTTCTATTCGAATACCGGCCACAACATTCGGTATTCCAACTGAAGTATTTCCTGGTGTTTCTTAGCCCCTCCAGGCAAATTCCGTTATCGTACATTGTGAAATCTACAGCCATTTCCTTCCAAACCCCCTGCAATTCATCACATCCTACCGCTCGTTGCTAAATGGTCTACATATATCAACAGTGTCATGAAATGAACACACATGCACGGAAGTAAGTATCGTCACTTCCCAGAAAACAGTAAAATTCACTGTCACCGAGACTTATTATGTTTTCTGTGAGGTACGAACTGAATTTCTTCTGACATTTAGTTGCACGGCATGCTTCGAAGGGTCAATATTGCTTGTGCGCTGCAGCAACTGTCGCCTCTTAAGACACTGAACGTTTCACTGTGTCAGTAACGCGCCGCCTTACCTCTTCCTGCCGCACAAGGATACTGACTGAGGCTTACAGCAAGGAAGTCTTACACATCACACTCACCTACGGCCCCTCTGTTACAGCTGTGAGCTCTGTCCTGTGCGATTAGCAACTGCAAGCTGGGATGGGCTCGGCAGCAGCTCAGCCCACCCCCCACCCCACGAATTTTCATTCCCCGCACTTTTCTGTTTTTGTTTTCACATCCGTCTACTCTCTGCTTTCATCCTGTCCTGGGATATCGTCTGCCTAATTTTTCACGTCCAGCCCGAGACATTTGAAGGTTGCGCCGGGTGTGATATGAGGTTAATCTTGAAGCAATTTGCTCTATTTCTGGCCTCTAGCCTGACACAGCCTAATCATGGCATACGTCACACTTGAAGATGAGAAAGGGCGAAACTTCAGGGATTTATCTCGAGTCGAGAAGTGTTTTATAGTTGTCACTACACAGGGAAGCATTTCTAAATCATCTGCAATTTGTCGCTGCTTAATTAAACTCTAAAATTCTTTAACTTTTCCTTGTGTATTGATTTAAATAAAGCTTGTATATAGAATTGTTTCAGTTGTTTTGACTTTAACAGAGGCAGAATCTTGCTAAAGTAACATTTCCAATCGGCAGACCATGTATAGGACTCAAAATTTCACACTGCAGTGTATATGAGGCATTGTCCATTAGCTGACACTGAACATCTACCAGTGGGTAAACAGATCTGCTTCTTGTTAAGGAAGTCCCAGGATTCACATCTCGGCTCGGATACCAGCTATTCTCACTGATGTTTGTCATGGTTCTCCTTAGTTACTCCACGCATCTCAGACGAGGTCAAGACCGAGTCATTCCAATTCACCGTTCATTAACCATCGCGCCATTCGACTCTACGCGTGGGCCGGATAGTCTTGGCTCCTGATAGCAAAGTTAAATAAACGACAAATAAATATTATACTTGGCTCACCCTGGACATGTCCTCGTGACAGACCGTCTGTCCACGTCCATTCGATGTTTCTCATGTTTTGTCTTAAAATTTCTTGTTTTGACTAGTGGACATTGAGGTGTTTGAATTTCCACAACCGTGAAGATTACTGTCGTCTTTGATGTGACGCCGTATGATCTGGTAGACCGTTATCAACCTTTCAGATGAACCTCTGCCTTCATCTTCATGATCCTCAGAAACGACAATAATGGTCTACATCAGTGGTCCGCAACCTTTTTCTACTCGCGGCACACCATGAAGTATCCATGACTCAACACGGCACACCAAAATGTTATTCCCCTCAAAAACGCATGATATCAGACAATTAATATAAATACGTAACGTGATCAACTTAACTATAATATTATTATATCGTTATTTTATTATCATTAAACAAAAATCGACTCGTGCATTTATTAACAATTAATGAACTTTAATTCACTGTAGAGTGTAGAAAATACACTTCTATTACTATCAAAGTAAATACAGTAATTCTACTCATACCTTCAATGTGATACTTGCGCCTGCGTAGCTGCACACAGACGACTGATTCGTGGTGGAATCGTTGACAAGGCAAGTCTCATTTCTTCGTCGATGGATTTGAGCCGCTCCCTCTTTGATGTCTTAATTTCAGTTAACGTCGAGAAGCCCAGTTCACACAAATATGTAGTTGAAAATGGCAATAACACATTAACTGCCATCTCGGAGATAGCCGGGTATCCACTCCTTATTGCCAACCAAAACATATCCAAAGGCACTTCGAGAAGTTTTAGTTTCAATGTTCTGTCTGCTTTTAAATCTGCGAGTTCCTCTTGTATATTAATCGGAAGATGTTCTGAATTCGAAACGAATGGATCACGAACCCAGTCGAAATCTTGTATACTCTCTCCAAAATACTTATTGAATTTCTGCTGCAGCATTTCTAAATGTTCTTCAATTGCATCCATCACCATTTTATTGCCGTCAGCAAGTGGCCATACAGTCGGGGACATCTCAAACGACCCATCTGTAATTCTCTAACTAGCAACCAAAATTTGCGACTACTTCAGAGCACAGCTGTGATAGAACTGAAACAATTGTAAAACGCGGGATCTCTACTCTTCAAACGGAAGAAGTGACACTATACCGACTTATTTTTTAAATATTTATAATTTTAAATGAAGTCCAACAATCGGTGGGTGCATCGTTACAGGAAGAAAGTCATGGAGTTGAAGAAGCTCTAACTTCTAACAAACAGGGGCAAATGCCGAAACAGCGCTATAAAAGACAGAAAAACTCGTGCTAATCTCTGCAGTTTTAGGGAAAAGCACGTACACAGAACATGCGGCAAGCATATCAAAGAAGCTGCGTAGATGCGAGGAAAATAAAAATAAATCAATAATGAAAACTATGATATAACAACAACTGTGAGTAAATAATTTACGTTTAATGTCTTAGAATACAACATTTCTATACATAAAAAATCACGGCATGTAATAAAGAATAAACAAGCATCATTTTATTTAATCAGTGCAGTGGCAGAGAATAAAATACAAGCTTATGAAACACGGTAACTTGGATAAAATGAAACGAATAAAATTCGACAATTAATTTCTTACAATTGGTAAAAGTTCTCGTCACACCTTTCACCTTGTGACGGCACGCCATGTGCCGCGGCACACCGGTTGCGGAACACTGGTCTACAAGACCATACGGCGTCACTTGCCAGAAGACAGTACATCACAACCGCTGTTTTCTGGGTTATGATATCTTGCAGGCGGTTATCGACGTTTCGGGAACATTTTGCCTCTATCGTCGCCTCTGTTCTTCATACATGAGTAGTGTCGTATGGTGTGTACGCAAATGATGAGTATGTAAGGATCAGGAAGGAAATGATTGTCGTGTATTCGAAGGCACCGTGTCCACATAGGACCACATAACCGGATGAAGACAGACGAATCTTAGAATAAGAGCTTGGAGGAGAGTCGAACTGGGAACCTCCCAGATCAAGTATAGAGAGTTCGCAGACGAGCAGAATAATTTCATAATGAACGTAGATAAATATGAAAGATTAATGAGCCAGATAACGGCTTCATCGCCTAGGCAAATGGCCCATAGACATTGGCTTAATTCCTGCCAAGTGCGAACAGGTGTGTCACTGTAGGGACTCCACAGATTGTAACTGAGCTTCAAGCTTTTATTCCACGGATCTGTTCACATACAAATAGACTGTTATTATTGTTTCACGTAGCAAAATTCTGAGGTGATTAATCGCAGAAGGTAAGTACATGCAATGAATGCTTCTTGGATTTAATGTTCTCACAGCAGTGATTGTGAAGAGTGTTGTCTTGTGAGATGTGACGCTATGTAGTCCGGTTTACCGACGTTTCAGAGAAATGTACTGCGTCCATCTTCAGGGTTGAAGATTTAGCCAAGAAAATTTCTAAATTTACAGGCTTGTACTTTCTGGAATAGTAGTAATGCTATCATGTAAGCATGAAGGAGGCGAATCGTTTTTCATTATAAAAAAAATTGAACTTTATTATTTCCTTAAGATTATTTCTTTATGAGCTATATTTTTATTTTTAAAATAAGAGGTAAAGTTTTCCTTATGCTTAACTAATAAAGCACTACTCAATGAAAACCTATGGGGGAGTGGATGTATAGATCCACGTTTTCTTGATCTCGATACTAGTTTGAGGTGAGTGGTCACCTTCACGCCTCGGCCGCTTTAGCCCCGGGGAAAAATCTTCCGGTACTCATTGGATAGGGGGCTTGGTGGGTTCCGGAACAAGTCTGGACAACCTGGAGAAGAGGGAATTCTTGACCGTACTGAGAATCAATGTCTGACCCTTCGGTCATCCAGCCTCCAGCCAGTCGCTGTACCGGCTGTGCTCCGTGATTTTGTTTTGAATTATATGTAATAAATATGGCTGATGTATTAACATTTTGAAATTCCAGTGTATTTCAAAGAGCAACGACAGAAGAATTCCTTATGAAAAACGAGTGGATATATTTGCGTTCAGTTAACCTGAAGCTACGCGGAAATGCCTCACACACACATGCACGCACGCACGCCTATCCACGGAGAGTGTGTAACTATTCTTAGCTTGTGACCCGCTTCTAGTGTTGGACAGGTGGGACATCCATAACAGTTTGGGAGGAACCTGGTGTAGCCCAGCTTACCCACAATGTGGCCTTTAGATCAATTTTTCAAATCCTATATGTCAGGGCTGCACAAATTCCGGGTCAGCAGCGCATCTAACATTTTCTTTTCGTCGCTCAAAATTGTCTTCTGCCATGTTATTGCTGATGCATGACCCGTCAAAGGCGATAGAGAAAACGGTTTATTTCTCTTCTTTCTCAGGTCTCTCTGTCTCTCTGTTCTCTCTCCTGCATCACTGTCCTGTCCCTTTTACTTGTTCGGAAATTACATTTACGAATTATGGAACAAGAAATAAAAAAAAAAAAACTCCGCGGCTTTCTTCTTCAAAACTAATTCATAAAACTTAATGCCTAGCGCGAATTAAATTATTTTAAGAAAAACCAGGTTACTGAGCACTACTCAGGACCTGGAACTTCCATGCACTAAACTAATATGTCAGCTGTCGGCTTCGTATACGCCCCAAATTGTTCTCTTTCTGTCTTCATGGTTATTTCATGACTGTCAGTATCGCGGGCTGTATATCGGCGAATGGTGGGCTGATGGATCGTAAAGGATTTGGAAGGAAGCCTTCATGGCCATATTGAGGTACTGTATGGCATTTTATGGGGTACTGAAGAAAACAGCGTGGAGCCGATATAGCGACTGGCCGGACAAAATGAGGGGTCGGAATTCAAGTCTCAGTAGGGACAAGAATTTTATCTTCTTAACGTCGCCCAGACCGGCTCTAGGACCTACCCTGTCTCCTATCCAATGTGTACCGAGGGCGAAGCTCAACGCTCACTTCCAACTAGTGCCGAAGTCAAGGAAACTTGGGACTATACGTGGGACATTCACTCCCCCATACGCCTTCATGGCGTAGTGCTTAATTAGTCATACACAAGGACAACTTTAGTGAAGAAAACCGCCAAAGACCTTAGGATAGCCGGTATGATGGGCGAGATTCGCATTCCCCGAGTATTGTTATGAAGCACTGTCACTAGACCAGATCGCCCTTGAGGCTTCAGAATGTGAGACTGACTTTCAGCTTGGTGAACTCGACAGATATTCGCAACTGCAAGCTTGGAGCTCAAGACTATT